TATTTATAGATAATTGTGAGTAAAATTCAAGTTTACAATCAATTAAATAAAATATTATGAATTACATGCTGTATCTGTTTTAGACACTATTTTAGTTAAATTAACTTAAACTAAGTTGGTGCCCACTAAAACTATTATAGTAAGTGATAAACATCCATAATATGTAATATAGCTTATGCACAGATTGTTTTGCACAATATTTACTTTACATTTCAAAAGGCATAATAGGTATCTGATATAGGTATATTTATATAAGCACATTATATACATTATACATATTATAATAAATGAATCTTATAGCCACAGTATATATTGAAATGGGTACCTACCTGCAGTTAGTACCTATATATTTACAGTATAGATGAAGGATTACAAAGATAAAGGTGGGTATTATGTTAAAATGATTTCTTAAAGAATGCATTTGTGTGAAGATGCAAGTCCACGCCCTTGACGATGACCAATAGTCATGTGTGTGGTGGGAGGGGGTTCGCTGTAATGAGCACGTGAGCCCGACACATTCGTCCTCGCATGAACGTGCCCCCGCGATTTACATATAACTGGTGACATTTTAACCTCAGCCAAGAGCATAATAATAAAACGCAACCATTTATGGAAACCTGGCAAACAGCATACAGACTCTTGTGCGTTCTATGCTTCTTTGCCGGCCCGTTAATAAGCCGCAGGTCAGCTCTGGGGGCCTGGGGGTCTTTTGTTTTCAATGCTATCCGATTGTGTATTGGCTACTTGTATTACTCATGTATATGTATTCACAATAATAATAAAAGCAACTGTTTTCAGCACTAAATGCATTTGAAAAGAATAGTTCTTTACTGGCAAAGTGATAACCTTAGGAATTTTGGATTCAGTGCGGCTTGTCTTGTATTGTAATATTGTAACGAATTGATAGATGCATTTTTAACCAAATATTTGTGTGCTTAAGCAAAAATAATACCAAAACACAGTCTACATCACAGACAAGGTATTCAACACTTGATTCGTAAAAAATGTTATAAAATATCTTAACAAAAATTCAAATAATATTACCATAACTCCGTATAATAATGTAATCTATAATATGTTTGCATGCCATAAATCACTAGTATTTCAATTACTATGGATTTCATTATAAAATATGAATTATATAAGTATTTTATTTTAAATTATTATATTTCTTAAAAATAAGATACATATAAATAAAGACGTTATATATAAAAAAATAAATACCAATAAAATTCCCATTAGAATATTCTACAATTGTATATTAGTATTCAGACCACTGACATAGCAGTTAGGTATAACCCCAGGTTTTAAAACGATTACCATAACAAACCCAAAGTTCTGATTTATGGTTCTAAATGAAATCGTCACCAATTGTATATACAAATACCTACAAAACGCACTAAGAAAGAAAACTCCGCAATATCTTCTGGGTAAAAAAATATAAATGAATAGTGCAGGATACCACTTCTATGCACCCAGAGATTCACAACAATAATAAATTACATCAGCTGTTGAATGGTAAAGGTGCATTATGTATCTCCCTTTGAAGATTTTTTCGTCTTTGTTTATTTTTTTTCATTTGTATGGTTGACGGTGATGTTGCTTTCCTGCTTCTTTTTCCCTAACCTAATGACCGTCGATTATGGTCATTGTGTGATTTATTACTATTATTCTTCACCTGGGTATTGTATGACCTTTTCAGTTACAATCGTCATGGCTGTCAAGAGTACTCTTGCAAGTACTACTAGAGCAACCAATATAGAAACCAAAAATTATTTGTTTGCTGTTAAATTAATTATTATAATAATATCATTATATATAACCTGAAATTAAATTATGTAATACGCATTGTGAGTATGTATTTATTTACTTAGTTCTAATTCTATGAGATTAAATTCATCTTACTCAATACAAAAAATATATGCATTAAAATCATGTTAGGTAAAAATATTTATAATTCTTATTTAGTAATATAAAAGAGCTCTCAAAAATAAGTTACAGTTGAAATTATTTGACTCGTTATTTCATTATTATTACTTTAATATAATATTATAGGTACACTTACAATATACAAACTTAAAGGTTAAGACATCAATACATTATTAAAACCGTCAAATCGATAGTATAGATAAAATACGTAGGAATTACAGACCTCCCGTATTTTATGAAATGTCCCATTTATATCATAGGTACTCTGGTTTTTGTTTCAATATAGTAATAATTTACTGGTTACCACCTAAATCATATAGGTAATACTACTCGTATTTACCAACGGTTTGGTTTCTAGTGTTTGCACAGTAAATTATAAAAGTATATTATGTAAACCAAAAAAACCAAAAAAAAAATATATTTAATTATCCTTTAAAACGTTATTAGAAAATTTAATATACGTATTTATTTTTTAATCTCTGAAGACCATGTATGATATTTATTTTCTACATTTTAAAAGTAATAGAAGTTTTAATTTGCATAAAAACAGTTGAAGCAGTGTTGAAAGTAAAAATTTTTTCTCCACAAAATATAGCTGGAGTTTTATAATTTTTATAGGGAATTCCATTGTTATTTAAATACATCTAAAGACATCGATTCTTCCAAAAATCTTACAATACACCATCAACAGCAACAATCTATTAGTTATTTTTATGAATATAAAAATTTCTTTTTATAAGTTTATTTAAAATCCTTAACACGCAGTATAATTAGTAAATTTGATAAACTATTTATATTATATTAAGTTTTTTTAGTTTAGACATTTTATATTTATGAGTCTATAATTTTAAAATATTTCTTTTAGGTATGTACTTAAACCTATTGTCAATCTACTAATTTATTGTACAATGTTATATAATTTCAAGAATTCTTAGGTACCTACATATTTCTATATATTTACTTTATAACTTTGCTCATATTGGCTGTTAGTTATTACCGCAAAAAACTACCTAGCTATTGTTCATTATTTTTTGTAATATAATATTTATTATTTAAATGTTCCTGTGCCATATAAACTTATCAATTTTAGCCAAGTGGGTCACTATAATATGCGTTAAATTTGAATTCAATGATACAAAATGATATAAAATCATTTTATACGAAAAACGATACTGAGCGGAGTTGGTCTGTCAGCCTATATCACTGCGAGTACCTATATTTTATGATATTATTGCTATTAAAGTAATTTATTTTACTATTAGACATTATAATAGTAATAAAATAGGTTGAATAAATTTTTCCGAAAAAATGCATTTGAAAATTTTATTGTGTATATAAAATACAATAATATATAATTTAAAAGTTTCAAGTACCTGCAATAACAATTTGAAATTACAATAAAATAACTAAAATCGTTTTTCCTAGCCTAACCTTAAATATCTAATTTAATTTTAAGGTAATAAATAATATTAAGATCTCTAATATTTCTTAACTGCCATTATAATAACTTATCAGGAACTCTGTATTACAATTTCAAATATTTCAATCAAACGAAAAATATTTGATTGACATTTATAAAAGAAAAAACTAAAAAAAATTGAAAATGTCTATAAACGGCTCAAAACAAGTTAAAATATTTTAAACATTTTATGTCGTATTTGAAATAATAAAAGAAATATTTGATAAAAATTAGTACCTACGGTTAAAAGTTTTTGAATTGCAACAAAATAAGAAAACAGTTTTATAAGATATTTTCAATTTACGGGTGAATATCCAATGTTTAAGTTCAGATGCTCATAACAAATTATTATGGTTTTCGATCAACAATTCTATTGATTTTCACTAACAGCAACTTATGAGAAACGTTGTGTTAAATTTTTAAGTTTTTATAAAAAATAATATTTTAAAAACTAATCAAAATAAAAAATTTTATAATTCTATGAATATTTCAAAAATAGTCGAAATATTTTATGGTGTATAAAACATGCTAATTTAAGCATTCGGTGAACATTGTATGTATCTAAGGTTATTTTTTCTTAGAGTTACACCAAAATATAAAAATCAATGTATCTACCTCATAAATTGTTTATTGCCCAGCTCTGATATCCGAACGTCTAGTCTCTTAGATCTTTTAACTGTCCCTTTAATCTCCACTCCATTCACAATACTAATTGCATCTTCACTATTAAAAGCATAATTCAATTTATTTTGGATGCAGGCTTCATTATTTAATATCTATGTTCTTTAATTAATTTTAAATGTACTTTTTATTATAATTATTGAGCTATATTAGTGTTTACTTGAAGATATAATATAAAAATAAAAAATAAAGACATCCTTTCTTCCTACATTTTTTTTTGTTTTAAAAATGATTATTAATTTTTTACTTTTAACCCCTCAAAGTACCAACACGGTTTACTTTTCGAAGCATTTTTACTGCGCCAGCCCCAAAGGTGATTGACGGACACAAAAAAAACACATCTTGTAAAATCAATACTTCGCTCTGCTCAGAATCTTAAAGTTATTTGATAAGGTTCAACAATTATTGTAATGCATAATTATTATGGTAGCTACGTTATATTGCAGCTCCATCAAGTGAACTTGGCCCTTTTCGCCAAATTTCATTTCAAATATTAATCGATAAAACTGCTGCATGGGAAAAAATATAAAAATTACTTTTGAAAATTATTGTCCAATATCTCAGGGTGAAGACAACCATAGCACACCAAAAATAATTGAAAATTACCCGAGGACTGATTTACAAGTGAAACACTACCAGACTCATGACTCTGACACACGCATGTATTCCGTCCACAAATTCTATTTGACAACAATCATACAACACATTTAATAACAATCGAGTTGAGATATTTGTAGTCATATCGCCATGCCGGTTTTTTAATATTATTTATTGTGTTTGACGCAGATCCTCAAAAGAAACGCCAATAGGCAACACATAATACAGATGAGAAACGTATTCGCCACCGCATCAAACGATCGTCTTACAATCTCTTTGGCCGTCATGGCGCGAGGCCTTATCATGTTTTGTTGTTGTTTGTAAAAGATTGATTACAGATGAAAAAGAAGTAGGAAATTAATATTGTTTCACAGTTATTTTTCAGTTTTCAATTTGATCTCGTTATTAATTTTGTTTGTAATTTAATCTTTCTATTGAACAATTGTATACAAGTTTCTGTTTTTACTTGATCGAAATCAATCTTCCTTTGCCATCTTAGTTCGAAATATCATGTTGAAAACAGTACGTACATCTTGACATTTAGAAAGGCATTACTGAACTAGTAAATTAGTTTACATTTGTCTTTATTTATTTATCTCCAAAAAGCAAGTATAAATATTCAGTGTATTCAATTACAATTTTGTTTAAATCGATTTCCAGGCATCATAAATTTCCATATTTTATATCAGTATACAATGTATACCGGTCAAACTGTTTAAGAGTTATGAGTCATTTGTTATAAGATTTACAATTCAAATGTTGAAAGTCATACAGATGGGCATTCAAGCTTTCATGGTGTTAGCCTCGAAGGTGTGGGCCTGTATATGCTTCCTAATAAAACGGCAAATAAAAACTGTAAGTTTTAAAATTTAAATATTTGTTTGATCTGTAAATTATTACGATTATAGTTTTTACTATAAATTAAATATTGTGTATGGGAACCTACTTTTCTCATTAAACGTTTATTGTTGTAACTGTTTATTTATTATTAATATAAGTACTACCTAATTTATTTAGTGTATTTAAAACTAAATAAACCCTGATGATTTTATTTAGTGAATGTTTTCTATCTTACAAATACATACTCATAGGTTTAAAAAGAAATTTTAAACTGGACATTTTAATTACAGGTTCGCCAATATCAACCTGTTAAATATGGAGTATTTCCTCTATTACCATTGTCCAGACATAGAATAAGTATGTTACAAGTTATTTATACAAAATTAAATGTCATTAAGGCAAGTATAACAATTTATTTTTCATAGGTATGGTAAAGCGGAAAGTTTTGGTGCTAGATTTAGATGAGACATTAATACATTCACACCATGAAGGTGTCTTACGTCATCCGTCCAAACCAGAAATGCCACCAGATTTTATTTTAAAAGTTACCATTGAGAGGCACCCAGTAAGATTTTATGTTCATAAGAGGCCGCATGTTGATTTTTTCTTGGACGTTGTAAGTTTTAAAAATACTTGAATATGCATTAAATACTTTTAAGTACTAAATTTCAAACTTCTGAATGTTGCAAAATGTAGGTCTCTAAGTGGTATGAGCTGGTAGTCTTTACAGCTAGTATGCAAATTTATGGTGCTGCAGTCGCTGATAAATTAGACAATCGAAGGGGAATATTAAGAAGACGATTCTATAGACAACATTGTACGCCTGAGATGGGTTCTTATACTAAAGATTTGACATCAGTTTCTAGCGATTTATCGAGAGTCTTTATACTCGACAATTCACCAGCAGCCTACAGAGCATTTCCTGGTAATTAAAACAATTTAATTTGTTTTTAAAAATGTTATTATAAATAAAAATATTTATGTTTTACATTTTTCAGACAATGCAATACCAATTAAATCATGGTTTTCAGATACTTCAGATACAGCATTGTTAAACCTTTTACCAATGTTGGATGCATTACGGTTTACAGATGATGTACGTAGTGTATTAAGTAGAAATTTACACAATCATAATTTATGGCAATGATCTGTTCAATAAACCTTGTTGAATTTCTTATTAAATAATATTTTTGACTGTTTCAATAATATAATGAGAATATACTAACTAACTTAACTGACTTAAAGCGCAAATAATTAATTTATATTAGTATAAAAATAAAAAAAAAGGTAATACCTTCTATTTCAACAGCAATACATCAATGTTCATTTTTTTTATTTTATATCCATGTGTTGTGAATTAAATATTAAATATTAATTAAATATTTATATAATTTAAAACAAACTTGTTATTTTATAAAACATATTTGAGTCTATAGGCTAGTTTATATTGATTATTATTATGTTTTTTTTTCCACTAGGTAAATAAAAAAAAGTATCTATTGTAAGGTTCTAGTCGCTGTTATCTGTAATATGTACTTTACAATACTAATAATAATAAGTAGAGTGAAGTATACAGCATTATAAGTACTAAGCTGTATGGTACCTATAATTAGTTCATTTTAATTTTTCACTAATATACAAATTCATAAACTATCATCATTAATGTGAAATATATGTATTCACTTTATTTTAATCAAAATTGTAGATTACATTCTAATTTCTACACAATATTTGTGGCAATTTATTGTTGATTACATTGGTTAATTTTTCGAATTCTGACGCATATCTTATAGTATTAAAATGAAAACATATTTTGTAAATGCACACTTTGAAAAAATATATTTTTATTGTTGATATTCAATAACCTAGAATAAAGTTGTAACTTAAAAATTTTAAGTCATTTTTGTTAGTTTTTATACAAGAAGAAATAATTTAGGTTTAACTTTTCTTGTTTCAATGTAATTTTTTAAGTGTACATTCATTATATTATCATCAAATAACTTCCATACGCAGGTATTAATGAAACGATATATAAATATTATTTATGGTTACAATTATTGTACTCATCAATCATGGCACCTAGCCAATAAAAAATGAGTTAAACTTTTTCTGGAAACTAAAATTTAAAAAAAAATATTTCAATTGTAAGCATTTAATAAAAAATAAATATATGTACTAACTGCTGAGATGTTAAAAATAACCTAACTTTATAATAATATAATATGTCAATAAATAATAATTTTAATTTATTTGCATTGGATTTACTATTTAGTGAATAGACTTATTTAATTTATTATTTAGTTGAGTGCTTAATGTGTGTCCCCAAAAATAGTTGTGAAATATGTCTGCTTAATGTGATAAATATTAAGACAATTCTTATGTATAAACACACATGTAATTTATGTATAAACACATAATTTTAAAAGTATGTCCAAGAATTAATATAATAATTGTCATTTAGTACTTAATGTAAAGTCTATGCCACCAAACTGTGATGTAAATATAGATGATCTTATTTGGTTTTTATAATTTATGTACATATATTTGTATAAATTATAGTAACCAATAATCTAAGAATACAGTTTTATGGTTTTAAAAAAATTATTCACATTACTTTCCAATGTTGTAATTTGTATAATATTATGTTTTAATGTTTTCCAAATTATTGTCAGCAATTCTCCAATTTTTGTCTCCTTAATATTTAATACATTTTGGACCATTCATTATTGTGATAACAGCAAAATATTTGTATATATTATGCAAGTTATTTAAATATAATATACAGTTAAATCAACTATTTTAAATAATGTTTATCAGGTGATAATTTTGTGGCAAACTATTATTATAAAAAATGAACAAACCGATATTGATAAAATGATTAATTATTAATTTAAAAATCTGCATATATTGTTTAATTTATTATAATAAAGTTCTGTAATTTGTACGAACTAAAAAATATGTTTTAAAAATAAATTGATACAAGTTGTAATCTACTTTAATGAAATTAATAATTTGCAAATGTTTTCTGTTAACTTTTGTTTGTATTCAATCCACTGGGTATTTTTTAACATTAGCATGAACACAAAAACTGTAACATGTCTTCAATGAAATACAATTAATTATGTGTTTATAATTAAATATTAAAATATGTTTTTAATTTTAGATTCTGAGTGAAGTGAAAATTTCTTGGTTTTTATTGAATTTACTTTTTTTTAGCAAGAATGATTGAGAATGATTATGGGAACAAAATTATATTAGGTCTCTTAAGATTCTTAATTAATACTACTATTAATACTCTAATAATCTCTTAAAGCTTATTCCAACAATCAGCTTAAATCCAGAAAAAAACCTAAATATTTCTATATTTTAGGTCGGGCGACCAGGTTATTGCAGTGGTTTATGGCAGTTGTACCTAACCGCCCAAAGTCTATGAAAATCATAGATAATATTCTAATATTATAGTATTAAATATTAATGTATTATACTACTATATTACGTTTTGGTAATTTTTAACTATTTAACTATCATTTAGCATTTTTTGGTGTGAGATCTTGTCTCGTTAGGATTCATGTAGACATGTAGGTGCCGAGCATTCTTAACTCGAATAATTCTAAAGTATTTGATTTTTAAATAGGCATCAAATAGATGAATTATGCCACGTTGATCAACAAACATTGTCTTACAAATAACTTATTTGAATAAGTTAAAATGTATCACTTAGGTAAGTTTAACAAAACAATAATATTATTATGTCTATAAATAGAAAATAACTTTCATAAAAAAATTATTCACTGGCTTTTAGGCATTTTTATTAATAAAAAAAATAATACACTACTCCACTATATTACTGCGAAATATCGGTTAAGTGGCTAAACGCTAAATCAAATGTATAATGTTTACATTTTATTAATTTATAATTATGGACGTTTATATTTATTATTTTATATTATGTGTGTAGTGTGTGTTATAAAAATAAACGGTGACGACGAATTGATCTATCGCGTACACTTAAAATGTATATCTGCTTTTTACACAATTTAAGCTGTATAATTATGAATTATTATTAATAATCATATTGAAAGATTGCGCATTTCAATTAGCGCTGCCAAATGCGAGATATAAATGTTTCAATCGGTTAAATTTAATTAAATTGAAATTACATTCTAGTACAATATGGCTACAAACTATGATTCGATAATAATAATAATAAAATATAATGTATCGTGAAAATGTCTAAATGGTTAAGTATACAGTACTGCTGTGGAAATTGGCAAGTGGCAAAAAATATATATGATTGATATTAATTTGTTGTTAGCTACCTACTCGTAAACCATAATATGTTGGTATTTTTCAGTTGTATTGTGCTGATTTTTGTCATCTTGAAAACGTTATTTGGCAAGTACCTATACCTACGCCTTACATATGCGTAGAACACACACTTTAAAGCACGTTTAAAATAATATTTATCAACAATAAGTATTTAATATTTTATGTATTATTATAATTTTTACTACATAATGTAAAGCAGTTTAGTCTATTGGTCTATAACTTTATGAGCATTGATTAATACGAATTTACCTATAATTTAAATATCGTATTATCGTTCCAGACTCATCTGTCGCGGACCCACACAATATTACAAAAATCCTACCGTCTACTTTCCAAAGATTTCAACGCGGTTAATGTTAATATTCTCTGCAGTTATCTACGGTTCGACAAGTCTTTTGGGATTCAGAAAACGTTTCAAGAATTTCGATCAAAATAATTAACAACCGAGTACATAATAGTGGTCAATCGCCGTCTAAAATGTTCCTAAATACTTCAATAAAAAACCGTAAAACGGTAGTGGGCAAAGGAGGTAGGTACTGTAAATAGGCGTCACTGTCAAGGTTGTGACTATAAAATAGTATATAATATATATATATGTATATATATATATCAATGTGTATTATTAATGTAATCAGCTGGGAGTTCGCCGTGGCCGTTAACGAGTGCCGTCGCGTAACCTCGTCCTCGTGCACAAGCCGCACGCTCGGCACTAGCTCGTTCAGTCGTTCGTCAGTTGTAATTCACCGTTTGCTTGTGTCTAGTATGTAGCCACTGTTTGGCGGTCGGTCGTGGCGACTCGTTTCAAGTCCGCGTGTTCAAATTGCTGGCGGCAGGCGATCGATCGTTTTTGTTTCAGGTCCATAGTAGAGGCGATATTATTCTTCCAGAAATAAATACGTAAGCGACTGTGCTGATTTCACTAACTCTATAAATTATCATTATTTTTTTTTACCTTTGTAGCTTTGTTTTTATCTCCGCGGTACAACGTAGTAGTCCGCGTAGTAGTAGTGAGTAGGTAACATTTTAATTCGGTTGATGACGTTCGTATATTATATTCATTCATGACAGTTTATATTCGTCGCCGAATATCAAGTTGTACTGTTAATGTATTGATTTTACACTTGTGAGGCGATGTGATGAAATATGAACGAACGTCTTCTATATAGTCATATTCTTACGAGATTTTCTATCTAAAAGTAGATACTATTTTTTCTATATAAATTAAGTGAACATTTAAACAGTATACAATTATTCTTTACCTACTTACATTATACATCAGTATACCAATAATATAAATTACAATTAAAAAAGACTGGTACGAATATATTACTATTTTATTGTTTACTATAAATGCATATTTATAATTGATAGGTATGTATATTATTTGGTGAATTTTGAGTTAGAAATTTATAAGAATATTTCTTTTTATATCTAAAATTTGAAAATTTAATACAAGAGTCCCCTTAAGTTTTCCTACGTTTAACAAAAAAAAAATTAATTTATTATTTACGAGCGTTTGAAGTTAGACGTTGGATATTTATAAAAACAACTTCTCATACAACAGTTTTCTTATTTTGTTGTTATTTAAAAAATAATAAATGTTGGTACTTTAAATTTTCATCCAATGTTCAACGTTTATTTTATCATTTTCTTTACATAATATTTTAACTTGTTTTGAATTATTTATAGATATTTAAAAATTTGTTTAGGTTTTTTGGTGCAAGGGGCCTCAAGAGTAGTTATAACAGCAATTAAAAAATGTTAAAGACCTGTAGGCGCGAATTTTTTTTATGAGTATTTCAAATTCAAATGTTTACAAAATATCGACAGTTTGCAAATTATTTTGATGAAGAAAGTCATAATAAATTTTCTATTTACATCTAAGATTTGAAAATGTAATACAAGATTTCTCATACGTTTGTCCATTTGTATAAAAAAAAATGTGTTCCGGAAAGTAAAATTCAATTTATATGGGGGCTTGGTGAGGCGCGGTCGTACGCTCAATCTGCGGCAACGCTCTGATTTTTTATAAGCATTTAAACCCTACATTTTGACATAATCTCTCAGATTGAAAATTTACTAACTATTTTGTAGTTAGAAATGTATAAAATATTCAATTTTTATAGGTAAAGATTGAAAATTTAAAACGAGGTCCCACATAAGGAAAACATTCTGAAACCAAAAAATCTAAAACATATGCATTAAAACAGTTTTATTTATTAGTTATTTTAAGTTAAAATTTGGACGAAATTACATATTAAAACCAAGAATAACAATTCTTATTGTAATTTAAAACTATTTTTCGAGGGTACTTTTAAAATAGGTAGGTACCTACATTATCATTTTCAAACATAATTTTTTCGACAAAAATGAATATAAATTATTGAACCTAATACTAATGACCAACAATAAATAATTTACTTTAATCACAATAATGTCATGAAAATATACCTACTAAGTAATACTGTAGGCTGACAGATCGTCTTCTCTCAGAATCGTTTTTCGTATACGTACAATGATTTTGTATCATTGAATTCAAATTTAACACATCCATTACTGTGACTATCACTAGACACCTAGCTAATGTACAGCAGAACGTTACACACTTACCAAGTTTTTACTATTATTAATTTCGTATTTAAATAAATTTACCCATTGTGTAAATTAATCGCTGTTTTCTGTATAATTACAAAACTAAAATAACAACTAGGTACTATACAGAAAAAAATATAGAAGAATTAGAAGAAGAATAAATAAGCATACCTACATATCGATATCTATTATTCCTAATGAATATTTATAACATTATAAGAATATACTAGTTTAGGTGTATTATATTTTTTTTGAGTATTTATGTAGAAGTTGAAATCTTATCGACTTTGGTTAGTGCGGTATATACGATAATGTGTGTACCAGCTACTTTCATGTGTTTGCGTTGATTATATTTTGATCAGATAATTTACCTATAGTTACTGTAATATACCATGTACAACAGTGGTGGTCGAACAGTGGGGAGGATAGATCTCTCATGATATTTTTTTCAATGTTTATAACCTTATAACCATAAATTATATTTTTCATCAATGATATATTAATCGAATTGTGTATGTTGAAAATTCAGCCATGTACTCATTCGTTGACAAAATCATTTGACCACCACTAATACACAGACATACATAATATATTAAAATAGAGAGCAATTTCAATTACAAATTATAAATAATATACGATGTAATCACTACTAATCATAAGTCACTACTCACTAGTCATGTAAAAGCAATAGGTTCCTTGTCCCGTGTATTATTTTTTTCTTACTTGCGATATTTGTGATACTTATATTTTATCATATACCTAACATTTGCAGTTAACTACAGCAATCCATCCCCATACTTATATGGATTAAATAAATTAGTATATTTAATCTATGATACTTAACAGTTAACCATAAGCTCAACTTTACACGTGACTCGTGGTGTATCGAAATTCATATATCTCGTTGAAAAGCATTTAAACTATATTTCACTTGAAACAATTTTGAAAATGATACTATAAAAATAGATATTGTCATACAATAATTCCAATATCCACTTGACATTTTTTAATAAATCAACTTCCCGATCATTTTTTCTTCAATATAAATTTCGTATTAAGTTTCATATTTACAGATAAAATATACTGCTATATGATTCAATAATGAACATTTTTTGGTTCAGAATTAAGTTAAGTACTTATAGATATTGATTTTATTGATGACCGTTAAATCGTAGTGCACAGTCAATTAAAATAATATATAAGTAATTAAATCATAACATTTTAATAACGTACCTAATCATTTTTATTTAAAAGAATAAATCGGTTTTATATTATTTAAATTGAACTTAATAAGTATGCTTATTATCTACCTACTATTCAGAATTATACTTAAGTATCGATGATATGTAGGAAAAATTGTCAAATTTTATGATGGTCATAATATAAATGGTTTTTGATAATTTGTGACAATATATTAGGAGTGTAGGACAGTAGTTATATTTGAAATTTTCTAAAGACAATTTATTGAACAATGTCTCGACAGTTATTTTAATCAGAGAATTTTAATTTGAGTCATACCTGCGAGTTTAACTATATACAATATGTATAATGTATAGTTTCATAAAAAATGATTAATTTAATAGTTTACTAATGTTTAATCGATTAATTATGGCCACTAAATCATGATTAAGGGACCATTAGTCTTCTAGTGATGCGTTAAATGTTTAGTGATTATTCATGCATCCCGACATAAGAAGATTTAGAATGAACACTATATCAAATAGGCAACAAATTATATTAGGTAATTGATCTTTAATTGCATAATCTTACTGATGCTTTAAGGCTATAGGTTTTTACTATGTAGTAGGCAGTAAGTATATTATACTGTTTTCGATAATTTTATCAATACACATAGCTTAAAATTTAAAACTAGAAAACAAATTCTAAAATTCAATAATTGACAGTCATACATAATGATTGATGATGAATTTTATTGTTGGTATTTATCATTTCATCAACAGTATTAAATCAAGAATGGCACTTATTTTACTTTATCTTGTACCAATAATTTTATAATATAGTATATCCTAACAGAAAAGTAAAATAGTTTAACATTTGGAACAATTTGCAAAATAAAAATTTTCTAGTTAGGACAGTTAGGTAGAATAAGTAGCAAGTAGTTATATTTTATATATAAATAAAATGTTTAATACTTACGTGATAGGATTACTATATTTTTGACAAATTTTCAATTTACAATATATATACATATTATTAATTTGAAAAAAATATATTTTGATAACTGAATAAATATTGTGTAGTAATAAACTTTTATGGCATAAATTATGATCCTGTCTAAAGAAAAAAAAAAATTAAGCCTTAAAAGATAATACGTTATCGTTTAATTTTAATGATGTTACCATAGGTACTACATACCAACATTATTCTTATATTAAACACGTGTTAATAATTACCTTATGTGTTCGACCTTTTGATTCATGTATATGAATATATGATATGATAATTAAGATAATTATAAGCGATAATAGATGAATAAGACTATTGATAGTTTATGCTATGATTCACGGTACTGACATTTACATATCTGGTGCAAACCTAAAAGAATGTTAATTCGCAGTAACCAAAGTCAACTTACTATTATTTCTCTTAGTATAAATCGTTTTTTTTTCTATCAAATAATTTTTTTTTTATTGCACTTTATGCAATAATGTAATTCCGTTTAATATGAAAATAATAGTTTAATTGTATAATTTATCATATACAATTATGCCTTAAACAGTTGTCAGTTATACATTACTATAGGACACCTAACTATTGTATTGAGAATTCACTACTATTTAGGAGTCCAAATTCGTACGTATTATTATCTGTAAATGAAATATTTATTTTTATAATACACCATATCACTATACCTTTAATATATTTTTAGGAATGGCCTAAAATGGAATTTGTACTGGGTGCCATGGGCGCCTGTGGCGCTGTGTGCTTCACCAATCCGTTGGAAGTAATAAAAACCCGATTTCAGCTACAAGGAGAGCTGAAAAAAGTGGGCAACTATAAAGTCCACTATAGAAACTTCGCTCACGCTATTTACGTGGTGGCAAAAAACGAAGGAATTTTGGCTCTGCAAAAGGGTCTGTTACCGTCTATGGGACACCAAATATTCTTAAATGGTACGAGATTAGGCATTTTCGATGTGGCACAGAAAAAAAAGTGGATACTTAAAAGTGATGGCACCGTTTCGCTGATTAAGTCTGCGCTCGTTGGAGGCGGAGCCGGCATGTTGGGTGGCTTTTTAGGCAGTCCACTGGGCATGGTGAGTGCAATTAATAATAATTATACATTTATATGCATAAACATTGACGTGTCTTAGAATCGTTGTCAGGTAACAGGGATCGAATGTATAAATTTACTGTAATATAGGTACTTTCTATGAAACTAATTCATTTAAAAATTAAACCTTATTTTTATTTTATCAAAAATCATAAAAACAATATTTTAAGGTCATTTTATGGCCCCGAGTGGTAACCATCAAATGGCGGCAGTATTCTCGAGATAATTAATAAATATCAGCTGCAGGGACTCACTTTAACACTTAGTAAAGTTGCGAAGTTTGCTGGGCACAGGCTCATCTTAATATTATACTCGTATATTCTTACTAATAAAAAAAAACTGATCAATACCTACACGATGTATTGTGTATTACACACAAACACTTATTAGAAATATATTCTACACCCTATTACACTAAATATTAAAAATTTCTAGAAAGGAAAATAATAGGTACAAATTTAACAACAAAATTCTTGGGTGAGCCCTTCTTTTAAATACAAATTTTTAAAAATAATTTATTTATGCACCTGTGACCCGTACATTGTGGTCCGAAGATATCATGAAAATGTAACGTATTTAACCATCATATAGTTTTGGCTGCGTACATGGGTCAGTCAGGACATATTTTTATTGGGTGGAACTAAGTGTAGCCTCTCTATCCTCCAGTTCGAAGCAATTTGTTATTGCCATCTCCCCTGAAACTACTGAACCAATCTTCATAAAACTGAAATATACGGTGGTCACCGCTTATTGGACTTACTTTGGGGCTGAACCTTTTGAGTCCGATAGGTGAAGATCCAATTAACCTTCAGACCAATAAGTGGCTATTACTGTATATTCATTAATGCATGAAGGGGAATAGATTGAAGATTAAAGATTAGAAATAAACATTTCTAGATGCTTATTCATTGAGTAATTATGATTGATTAATCATAAACAACTAGGTGTGTTCGTGGACGAAAGTCAGGTGGAGCGATAAGTAGCTATAGCATATGCCCAATTAAATTTATCATAATTACTCAATGATAGCATCTATAGAAACGCCTAACTCAATACATGCACCCTTCAGGCATTAATGAATATATATTTTTAATTTCACGAAGATTGGTTCAGTAGTTTCTAAGGAGATGGCAATTACAAAATATTGCGTCGAACTGGGAGATAAAAAGGTTACGCTTCGCTCCGGCCAATAAGACTATTTTACTTCAAAATTTGTATTAGTGGGCCTTAGGAGCTTAGTCGACATCAAAAAATAACCATTATAACTCGTTTATTTTATTTGCGATGATGTGAATTTGTTCAAAAGTCTACCTACAGGTTTTTATATTTTTAAATTAATGTTGAAGACAATTATAAATGTACGTGATTCGGATTGTTTAGTTAAAAATTCACCTGCAATCATTTTCCGCCCAATCAATCGCCGTCGGCCATCAGCACAACACCGTCAGCACGATAAACGGTTTGCTGACGCTGTACCGTAAGTATGGCGTAGTCCACGGGCTGTGGCGAGGGGCCACTGGGGCCATGGTACGTATTGGTGTCGCATCGGCTACGCAATTGAGTACGATAAGCTTACTGAACGAGTCGCTCATCGATCGCGGGGTGTTGACCAAGGATCAAAAATTCCTGAGCACCCTCATATGCAGTATGCTGGGTGGAGTACTGATGTCAATAGTGATGGCACCATTCGATCTGGTATCCACCAGACTCTATAACCAAGGTATACAACGCGCGTGGTTATCTCCGTATTTTTGCTTAAATTCAATATTGTTTATAAGTGGCGCCGAAACATATGCAAAATGTATAATAATATATACAATATACAAATACCAGTGTCTCACCTGTATAATACAGTATGGGGTGGGGGTAATATTCTAGGGCAATATGGTGACTGCCAAATAAGTGGTGGCTGAGTGCCCAAGTACCTAACAGAATTTACTATACATGTTGCGTGAAAATTAGACTTCTGATTGACCGTATATTCGATGTATTTGTATATTTCGACGACATTGAATATTTTATTATTATATAGTGATTCATTGAAAGAATGAATTTGTTAAAATGATGATCTTTAAAATTGTAGTATCAAATAATTAGATTTGTTTACCCTTCGAAAATGTCCTGTAGTGATACTAATTACTTTTTTCACATCAGAACCCCCCCCCCCCCTTCCAGTAAATTGTTAATTAGATGATTTTTATAAAAATGTTGATGTATCTAAATTCATATTCGAATTAGCAATGGTTGAGTTACTTAACTATGTGTAGGTACTAAGTATATATTTTTATTTGGTCGTTTGAAAGATTATTTTAGATTCCAAAAATCAGAATTTTAATAAATTCATTATTAAAGAAATAAATAGTGGTGAGCATGCTTAGTTAATATAACTCATCAAGTTCATCTTGGCCGTGGCGACCGTTAATAATTCACAAAGGGTCCGAAAACTATATTGTATTGAAAAAACGATCGTAATGTGTAATGTAATTCCATCTTAAATGTTAATTGTTAATATGAAATATGATTTAAACATTTTATATCCAGTGTAGAAGATATTTATCATGCTAGGTTAACATTAAATTGTTTTTGTATGTCATCATGATATTTATTATATACTAATAATTATTGGGTATTAATTACTAAAATAGGTTATTTTCATATTACCTATATTGTTGAGAGAGGTTTCAATGAGTTTTAAATATATTTTGTTGATCAATTACCTGTGACGTCAGCCGAGAGGTCCAAGATGAACTGGACGAGTTATACCTCTGTATATTTAACATAATAACTTTGCCTAAGTTCTTATATAAATCATACAATTTATTCCTATACGCTAACATATAATATTATATTATATTCGATTTTTAACTGCAGCTGTCGACGCCAGGGGCCGTGGTATTTTATATTCGTCGTACATGGAATGTATGACCAAGACTTTCAGACAAGAAGGAATCTACGGACTTTACAAAGGCGTTGTTCCGTGCTACCTCCGACTCGGACCCCACGTTGTTTTAAGTATGGTGTTCTGGGACCGATTGCGACAGTTCGAATCAAATGTGTCCGATCGCATTAAAACCATTCAAAGTCTTTGATTTGTTAATTAGTTTTTAAAATGATTTGTTATTGTGTACTTTTACTTATCGTGTAAATCGGAAATCCCAAGGTAATAATAAATTGTTAAATGTTATGTATTTATTGTATTATATAGGTAAAGTTCCTGATGGTTTTAAATTTCAGTAAAATGCAAAAAAAACTTACTATACCCTTATATAATATACACTTTATTGTACCTATTGGTAAAATGTTTCTTCGCCGATTTTTAAACATCGTTCGATAGACGATAATATAATTTTATATACCAAATTGAACGTAAATTATAAATTAATGTCCATAGTAGTATATACTGTTGTAAGCTAAATTATAACAATAAATTAACAACATTGCATAGTCTATTATGTTACATCAGCGATGGAACTATGTAAGAATTAATTGAGTAGATCCACAATGCAAAGTACAAATTACTAACATGTCAGAACTACTACCTAACCATAGGACCTAGTACTTATACAATATAGATTATGACATGGAGTGTTGACTATTATAATTTAAAGTTGATATTAAGTACTAAGTATGTAATAGGTTATTATAGTTATTTTTGTTTTAACTATAAATTGCCTATCTATTATATTTCTGTAGTCACCACTTATAAAATATACGCATCACATTTATTGAGTTATCGCAACAATAAATACAAATATACTTAAGTAAGGATATTTTAATATAACCGATTTAATTTTTAAAAGCTAGGCTCCTAGTGTAATACAAGTCATTGCCTATGTATATTATGCACAATTTATAGTGAGTGTTCATCAGTCATCACTCATCACTCATCAGTCATCATCTTTATAATAGGTACTTATAGTTCATAGCCAAATCAGTAATTAAGGCACAGCTACGTCGTGTGTCGCGTCGTATTGATCAAATCGCTTTGAGGCATTAATTTTTTGGTATCATGTTATTACCAAGCTGCAAACGAATATACCGAGAATTCACCACAGCTCAACTTTTAAGATGGATTCACGCCTCGTTGTGTCGTGTGGTTTTCCATATATTTAATACATAGGTGATAAAATGCTGGTCACATGTTATCTACAAGTTGATTATATTCGACACGGCGAGCTGTGAACCACCCTTTAAATCATATTGGTTACCAGTTATAACCATATAGTTACCATGCCCTCGCACACCACGACACATGACGTATAGCTGTGAATCCGGCTTTACTAATTACTAATTACGATTAAGTTACAGACTTGCAGTTAAAGGTAAGGTAGATTTAATCGTGAATAGTACTTACATCTCTGACATATATCTATGTAAATTATATGGTACAACAGTATTTAGTACAATAGTATGTACCTCTACCAATACCTTTATATTTATTGTTATCAATTTATTAAATATGAAAGATAAAAATAAATTATTGTTAATAATATTATAGTTATATTATTGTATATATTATACCAAAATATTATAATTGCTCACTAGAACATTGTTAATATTAAATTTGTTATTGTATTGAAATTAATTAATTTCTCCAAATGCTTATGCTTCTTCAGTACTTACTATTTCGTTATCATACCATGTTGTCTATAAAACTGTAGCGTTTTAATGTTCATTTATACCTACGGGGAATTATAGTTTTAGGCATGATAGTATCAAATATGATATACTAATATAATTGTAATTTAATATAGGTAGCCATTAAGGTATCTACAATCAACAATGTTATTCATAGTAACTATACTAACTATGCAGGCACGAGGTACCTACCAAATGCATAATACATATGCAGTTAGTGAGATATGCATATGACATCTGCAATATATTGCATTATTTTGATTGAGTATTGTTAACAAGTAAATACTTAATAGGTATGATAATGGTGAATGCAACACTTATTTAGTTATTTAGGTATATAGTATATGTCCAGTACTTACTGACATTTATATTTATCAGTCAATCAGGACACATTTGAATATATATATTTACCAACTTGAAAGAGTCCAACGCAAGTTTCTAAGTGTTCATCTCTTCGGTTATCAATTGATTGTCCACCTCATAACTATAACCCAGTACTTTGCCACTGACTATAAGCAGTTTTCATTAATGGGATTAATAAATCATGGAATAATGTAATATCAACGAAGGTTATGGTAGGGGGATCGTCACCATGTATTGGATTCAGTTACTTTTTAAAAGTAATTTACCCAACACTGGTAAGTAGTAGAGGTATCATATAGACCTATAAATATAACAGTTTATAGGTCTATGGTATAGGTATTCCATTATTTTAATTATTGAAAATAGTAATTATCCAACGAACACATATTACGAGGGGTGACATTCTAAAATGCACTATTGCCATTTTCATATTGTTCAAAAAACATGATTTTCTATTTTTCTATTCATGAACTATTATTCAACAGTAGGAAAAACATAAAATATGTTGATAGTTCAGAAAAAATAAGCTTTATATATTTTTTATGCCAAAATGTCTTTAAATATATTATTTGTTTGCTTAAATTGATAAATTAATTTTGATTGCACCGTAGTGTACTATTTCCATCCAATAATACATTTTGACGTAAGTGTAACCATAGAATTAAAATAGTATTGAACAACATTTTTCCAAAACGTACTTATTCCAAACTTCCTTTAGATATTGAATTCCTACCTGGTATAACTGAAATAAAAACTACATTTATAGTCAAAATAAAACTATAAGTTTAGCCTCATTAATAGTAAGAGGAACATAAGTAAAATTGTATAAAATAAACAAGAATCTTGTACAAGTTCAGTTGTATGATATATCTGTAATATTGGTTGACGTTTTTTTTTTTTAAATGTATTGTAAAAATAAAATTATCAATGATCATAGGCAGAAAATCAATATCAATATTTTTAGTTCCTTCAGACTAAATTGACTGCATAAGCAGAACAATGTACAACTCATTGACTACTAAAGGAATACTCCAATCATTAACACAATAACTCCTACGACTCCTTCAAACGAACTTTTTGGTTCTTCTAAGCTTTTGCCAATTTCTACATCCATTTGTTCAATATCAAAAGGTTCCAAAATAGGTATAGGAGCAATTTATAAATATTGTATATAATATAGAATGGTATTTATAATCTTCATAAATCATTAAAGTGTTTAAACTAGTATTTTACATTATACCTATTAAATTACATAATCATATTTAACATGAAATATATAAATGTATTATCGCCCCGTAATTTTCAGCACGTGTAGGAAGTACAATAAAATAATGACAATAGTAGGTACACTTAGGAATGTCATCCCTGATATATAGAAGTATAAAATATAGATTTTAAACCAATAATGAGTCAGGTACAACACCAGTAAGTTTTAATTTCACCATCTTATATTATTTAACAGCAAAGAAATTTTTTCCCTCTGGTGTTACATGCAAAAAAAAAGAGAAACATGCTCCCGGGCGAATGGTGCTGCCACCTACCGCGATCCTTCGGTACCTAACTGCCGTCGATTGGCACCCAGAATATATTTTACAGGTGGTATTACCTTTTTTTTCTACATTGTGATTTAACCTTTGTAAAAAAAAAACGAGGGATAGTTCAACTAACAATAATATTATATAACATAACTTTTACAATTTTGAGGTTACTGCACTTCTTGGTAGCAGAGCAGTATATATATACGTTTAAGGGGTATATCGTAATAATAATATCTAAATAATACATTATCGTTCCCGGAAATAAAATCTTTTCATTGTATTATTTTTATTGTTATTCGTATTCATCAAATGTTCTACTGTATGAAATGTTTTGGATATTCAAATATTTTATTTATGCTCACTGCTGCTTCATTATAATATAATATACTTACTATCGCAAAATGTGTAGGTCAGTGGCGTAATTTCAGTTTTTGTTTAACTAGGGTAACTATCCACTGATTTGCCGACTCAAAATGTTTTCCGTGTAGATTCACATAGGATAGTACCATAGTAGGTGAGGGGTGGAAAGGTAAATGTTCAGATATATGAACGTCACACACAGGGTTTTGAAAACAATTTTGTCAAGTATTAATTATTATAATTAGAACTAAAAAGTCAAATAGAATAATTGAGTTATGTGTAAATAAATAAAAAATAGGTAATAGGTACCCTTTAATACTGATTTACAATTAGTTAGTGGTATTTACAGTCATAAACATAATTAAATATTTAATAGGAGATATCTTACTTTGCGTTCGAAGTTCAGTTGGGCAGCAGCAAAGGGATTGTTGGCTACACCAACTACCAAGACTAATGTCTTTCACTTTTACTTGACTATACCACCATGAATGTTAAGTTCATGTTTTCTATTTTAATTCTTACAATTCATTTGCCTGCGGGCGCCTATGCCCCCCTTCAATTTTTTTTTCTATTTAACTGTAGTTCAATTTTTCAAAAACAATTTTTAAATTTTGATAACCAGTTACTTCATTATAAAAATAAATACATAAGAAAATTAATTAAGAAAAATAAATCAATGAAATAAAAAAAATTTTAATAAATTAATAAAAATAAAATTCACAAAATAATATTAGTAAAATGAAATTAATCATGTGGGATTCATAAAAATAAATTAACCAAAGAAAATTAATCAAAGAAAATTATTCAAAGAAAAATGTATTTATTTTTATTAATTTTATTTTATTAATTTTATTCTATTAATTTAATTTTTACTTATATATTTTTATTAATTTTATTTGAAGAATTTAATTTTATTAATTTATCTTTACTATTTCTATTTTATTTATTTATTTTTATTAATTTTATTCCATTAACTTATTTTTGTAATTTTATTAATTTACCTTGATTAATTGTTTTTGATTAGTTTTTTCTTTAATTTTTCTTTAATTTTTTCTTTAATTTTTTTCTTTAATTCTTTAAAAAAAATTCTTTGATTTTTTTTCTTTATTTTTTTCCTTTAATTTTTTCTTTAATTTTTTTTTCTTTAATTTCTTTGGTTAATTTGCTTTAATTTTTTTTCTCTGATTTATTTGCATTCTTTAATTTTCTTTCTTTAATTTTCTTTGGTTAATTTTCCTTAGTTTTTTTTTGATTAATTTATTATTATTAAATTCATTTGATTAATTTATTTTTATTAATTTATTATAATTTATTTTATTTAATTTAATTATTTTTCTTAATTAATTATATTTATTTATTTATTTTTATAAGGAACAAACTGGTTACCAAAATTCAATAAATGTTTTTAAAAAATTGAAGTACAGTTAAATAGAAAAAAAATTGAGGGGGGCATGGGCGCCCGCAGGCAAATGAATTTTAAGAATCAAAATAAAAAAAAAAATTATAAAAAAATATGATAGAATATTGATTTAATAATAAAAATGGGTA